CGGGGGAGGGGGGTGGCCAGCATTAGGGGATGTGGGATGAGAGGTGTATTGCAGCACAGGGGTGGCAGGCACTGGAGTGCAGGGAGGATGCGGATTTGCAGGCCCAGGGGGATGGGAGAGCCTTGCTACAACCCCCAGCTCTGGGAGGAAAGGAGTGCCCTGGGGTGGGGGGTGATCCATTCCCACCCATCCTGGGGCAGACCAGGGCCTTTTCTGGGTGGGGGGAGGGGACCCCCGAATCCCTCATCCCCGTCACCCCTGCCAGCCTGTAGGCATGGGACATGCCACGGCCCCAGTGGCTGTCCCTTAGTGCCAGCACGTGGGGTGCTGGCAGGGGCCCTGACACCTGTTTCTCTGCTGGGGGCAGTCCAAGGGTCGCGGCCGGGGAAAAACGTGCAGCTGACGGAGAACGAGATCCGGGGCCTGTGTCTCAAGTCGCGGGAGATCTTCCTGAGCCAGCCCATCCTGCTGGAGCTGGAGGCACCCCTCAAGATCTGCGGTGAGGGTGCACCCTGGGATGGGCGCAGGGTCCAATTAGAGGGTCCCAGTATGGCCCTGTACCCTGTGCTTCCCTGGGGACATGGATGAGGTCCCCTGTGGGGTGGTATGGGGAGCTGGGGTGCCACGCACGCCCTGTGCCCTCCACTCCAGGTGACATCCACGGGCAGTACTACGACCTGCTAAGGCTCTTTGAGTACGGAGGCTTCCCCCCTGAGAGCAACTACCTGTTTCTGGGCGACTACGTGGACCGCGGCAAGCAGTCGCTGGAGACCATCTGCCTGCTGCTCGCCTACAAGATCAAGTACCCCGAGAACTTCTTCCTGCTGCGTGGCAACCACGAGTGCGCCAGCATCAACCGCATCTATGGCTTCTACGATGAGTGTGAGTGCTTGGGCTGTGGCTGCGTCTGTCCCCCCTCAACCCCTGTGCCACCCCCCGTGTACCCTTCACTCTGTCATCCCTGTGCAGTCGTGCACTGACTCCCAGGGTGAGTCCTTCTGCCACTCGCCCTGCCATCACCATAGCCAAAACCAACCTGTAGCACCCCAGTGCTTCCAGGACCATTCACATTGTGTGTCCTACACCCCCCTGTACCTCCCCTCTGCCAACCACCTCTACAAGTGTGCACCCCAAGGACACCCCCTGCATGACTCGGTGCCACCCTATGGCATTGCCCCTGTGCAGCTGGAACTCTGCTGGGACTGGTGGGTTTCTGGGCAGCTGTGTGTGCTTCAACCTGGGGGCACGATCCCATGCTGGGGGGGAGTTCATGGGGAGCCCCACACACTCCCTGTACCCCCAAAGAGGCGGCACTAGGTACCCACACCCTTGCAGGCAAGCGGCGGTACAACATCAAGCTCTGGAAGACATTCACTGACTGTTTCAACTGTTTGCCCATCGCCGCTATCGTGGATGAGAAGATCTTCTGCTGCCATGGAGGTGGGCACGGTTCTACCTGGATCTTTGGGGGCTGACAGGGTGACAGGAGCTCTGCTGATGCTTTGGGGATGCCCCAGTGTGATGGGGGGCGGTTGCCGAAGAGGCAGGGCCTCACGCAGTCCCCCTGTCCTTGCAGGGCTGTCTCCCGACCTGCAGTCAATGGAGCAGATCCGGCGGATCATGCGCCCCACGGATGTGCCGGATCAGGGCCTGCTCTGTGACCTGCTCTGGTCCGACCCCGACAAGGACGTGCAGGGCTGGGGGGAGAACGATCGCGGCGTCTCCTTCACCTTCGGGGCGGAGGTGGTGGCAAAGTTCCTGCACAAGCACGACCTGGACCTCATCTGCCGGGCGCACCAGGTACCACCAGGCACCCTGCTGCTGGGGACAGGCGGGTGCACCCCTGGGGGGTGAGATTTGGGTCCCCAATGGGTATTGGGTATGGGGCAGGCATTTTTACCCCTAATACTTCCCCCTCAAGGGCAGCATTTACTTTTGAGGAGGTATTTTCCCCCAGAAGGGAACGTTTGACCTTGGGGGTGTCGGAGGGGTCTTGTTGGCGCTGTGTGGGCTGGAATCCTCAGAGTATTCACCCCGGGGGGGTTATTTGCCCCAGGGGGTGGGTGTTTGCCCCAGCGGGTGCCTGCCTCAGCGCCAGCTCTGTCACCCATGCAGGTGGTGGAGGATGGCTACGAGTTCTTTGCCAAGCGCCAGCTCGTCACCCTCTTCTCGGCACCCAACTACTGTGGGGAGTTTGACAACGCGGGCGCCATGATGAGCGTGGACGAAACACTGATGTGTTCCTTTCAGGTGGGCTGGGGGCACTGCCAGTGGAGGAGGGGTGGACACAGGGCTGGAGGGGCTGTGGGAGGGCCTCAGTTCCTGCAGGGAGGCTGGGGGCAGCCTCCACCCTGAAGGCAGGAGAGGAGCAGGGAGCCTGGGGCAGGAGGGGGCACGGTGTGC